AAGATACCTGTTACAATATATGCCGCCTCATTCATGTTCGTGTCTCCATCGCCATCTTCTTCGGTCACCGGTGTCTTAAGACATTGTCTGGGGTTCAAATAAGCTAATAGGGAGCACCGGTTGCTTATTCTGAATTCTCGAACAAGGTCAAATTCCGCTTGATCTTCTCTTCTATGACTCATTCTCTTCTAGTCTCCTGCATTGAAAAGTTGATGGCGACAAGGACATTGCATCTCGTTGGCGTTATAGTGAAGGTCACTGGGCTAGGGCTCTGTTATTCTTCTCATGATTGGACAGGGAGGTTGATCAACTTATGTTGGGGCTTGAATCTTTGAAAGTGAAGAGGTTTGATAGTGACTAGATACTACTATCAAAAGTGAAGAAGGTTGGAGTCACAGCATATATGGATGTCAATGTGCACGATAGTCATTGCATGGGCTGAAAGAGTTAAGAGTCTCTAGGCAAAGGTGTTGATATCAATACTGAGCGACATAGGGTGACAAAGTTGTTGTACGGAGAGGGCGACAAACCACTAGACGACGCTAGAAAAAAGAGTCGTCGACCGAAGAAGGCAGGGTGACAGGATTACTGGACGATGTAGGGTGACAAGGTACTGGATGATGATGTCATTACGGTGGTGATGACAATCATTTGGGTTGCTAGAAGGAAATGATCAATTATTAATTATAAAAATGGAATGTCACAATAATAAACTAATATTACATAAGTGCATAAGGTAAGTCACATTTTAAGAAAAATTAAAAACAAGACTTTCTTATCTGTTGTATACATTTTAGTAATATTCATTATTTTATACTCCGTACTACATAAATACTCGTACTCATCCACACTCCCATAAAAACTTCTCAAATTTAACTGACACATACAATAAAATTGTGTGATTGCAAATAGATAAATGAGTGAAATATAAAAGACCTTTCAAAATCTTTATTTAAAATGAAAATGGACAAAGTCAATGAGACTTAGAGCCCTTTTGGTAATACAAAAATCGACTGATTTAGGTGATTCAGCTGAAATTTATGAAGTTCTGGCTGAAGTGGCTGCATTGGCTGATTCTACTGGTTTAAGAAAAACTTACTTTTAAAATACATTTATTAAAAAAAAGAAAAAATTATATGTAAAATAACTAAAATGATCATCTACAGATAGAAGAGTAATTTTAACCTTATTTTTTCTTATTTAACATGAAACTAAAGTTATTGAAAAAGTTGACCGATAACGTGATTAGCCAAACAATGTTACCAACAACCATGCTAGGGGTACATAAGTTGTATAGAATTTGTACACAAAATGTCAGTCACAGACAATTGATACGGAATTGTCTGTGGGCACATACAAGAGTTGTCTGTGTGCACAGACAAGAGTTGTATGCGTGCACAGACAACTTTTGTCTGTGTCCACAAACATTTTTTTGTAAAAAGTACACTGACAGCCGTCTGACACTGACACCAGCTTGCAAATCAATCAATGTATGTGCACTGCCTGTGTGCGCAGACAATATTTTCATGTTACACATACATTTATTTGTCTGTGCGAACAGATAATATTTACCTCACAGACAATAGTAGGGATGACAATTGTGACTGAACCGATGGATGCTCGCACCAAACCGCCCCGGTCAAAACGGGGAAAACCGCATTGACCGAGTAATGGGTACGGGGCGGGGAATACCCGTTTTATTTTTACGGGTAATAGGGTGGTTACGTTTTATACATGCCCGCCCATTACCCGTCCCGTTTATTTTTGGCTATATTTTTATTATATTTTTATCTATTATTTGTCCCACAATTACTAAAAGATAAGATTTTTCTATTTACATTTTGTGTATATGAATAATAGATGTACTAACTATAGTGTATGAATGAAAGTTCATAACAAATTTTAATAGTCTTGTTTGATTATTATCAATTTTTTGTGTGATTAATATTAAGTATTTTTAGGTTCAAATTAATTTAGGTTGACTTCCTTCTCAACTTATAAATATACAAAATTTTAAAGTGGCGTACGAGTCCAAAGTCTTCTAGGTGATACCCTTTTCGCCTTTAAAATATTATTTTTATATTAAAATATCAAAGATTTATTTAATATAGCAATTACATGTGGTTACCCGCGGTTATACCCGTTAACCGATTGAGCGGTTATGGTTTGGGTGAAAATTACCCGTTGAGTAATGGGGCGGTTACGAGGCGGGGGAATTACCCAACGGGGCGGGTACGATTATATGTAAAACCGCCCCCGATTCGCCCCGGTTTCATCTCTAGACAATAGTTGTGCGTTCTACAGACAATAGTTGTCTGTGTGATCAATTTCAATTGTTTGGGTGAACGAAAAATTTAATTATCTATATATATCCAAATGAATGATGTAGTTGTATGTATGATCAATTTACATTAAAAAAACAAAAAATGATCAATTTACATTTAATTTGAAAAAAATTAAAAAATAATAAAAATAGATGAAATAAGATGAATAAGTTGATTTTGTGCAAATAATGAAAAAACAATTGATATAAAAAGGTAGAGAAAAAGATGAGGAAGAAGGGAAGATGAAGATGATCTCTCATTTTTTTTGTGAGATATTGGAATGGGTTGGGTAAAGAAGAAAGAGAGAAGGGGAGGGGAAAAAAGAATGGAGAGAGAGGAAAAGTTGGGCTTTTATATGGTGTATTACATGTTACATTTTACATGTTACCAAATGCCCTTTTGGTTTACTTTCACCAGATTCGGATTTAGTACTTCCGGCAAAAAGCAATGGCAGAAGAGCGCGAAAACGCTGTCAGCTTTCAACCGAGCTAAAATAAGCCAGAAGCACATTTCATCTGGTCTTGAGAATGCCGGAGCTTCCCGAGGTCGAGGCGGCTCGAAGAGCGGTGGAGGACAACTGCAAGGGATTGAAGATTGTGAAATCGAAGATCGCCGATGACCCTAAGGTCATTGACGGTGTGTCTCCGGAGGACTTCGAGGCTTCACTTACTGGAAAATCCATCGTCGCCGCTCATCGCAAGGGGAAAAACATGTGGATTCAGCTCGATTCTCCCCCATTTCCAACTTTTCAGTTCGGTACGATTGCCCAATTGAGCGTCATTTTTACAAAGAAAGTAAAATTTAAGTAACTACCCTTGGAATAAATTAATCGTATGGAGTACGAATATCTTTGTGAAAATCAATTCATTGTCTTTTATTGTTATGAGAGATGACGAAACAAATCCAGTGGTTTATACATTTAGCATGCCACAGCTCTCTTATAGGGTTTACTGTTGAAGAAAATGGACGGTTTTTTTCAATTGTGTGTTGACATATTTTGGGAAATGATACATAATTTAGTCCTCTAATACTGCACCCTTGTGGCTGAACGTCTAAACACTCGGGGCTTTCTAATGTTTCTATAATTACTGTTGATCAGGAATGGCGGGTGCAGTATATATCAAGGGAGTAGCTGTCACAAAATACAAACGGTATGTCCTACTTGAGTCTTTAGTGTATGTTCTGGGATACTCTGTAACTGTGAATGATTTGATAAATCTTTATAAAGTTAATTTCATATTCCAGAGAGTTGGGTAGTGAATACTCAAGTCTTCAGCACATACAGAGTCTATTTTGTACTCTGAGCAGGATTTTTTTGTTTATCAAACTCGTTTTTCTGGTCTAATGTATGATACCATTTCGTGTATCAACTGACCCCAATAATCTGGGTCAAGGGTTTCTTGTTCTTCCTGAGAGTCAGTTTCATATTCCAGATAGTTGACTATTGTTTGTTAAACTATTTTTTCTGGAGTCTGGACTACATGTCTGATATCATTTTTATTGCCTGACCTCAATAATCTGGGGTTAAGCCGTTACGGTTTTGTTGTTGTTTCTGTTAGCTGGACCTTTTGGTTGTGCAATATGCAGTCTTCTACTGACCAGTAGAACCTTTCAGTGCACACAACAATTGGTCCTAACACAGAGCAATTTAATGTAGACATTCAAAGTTATCTGTTTTTCGCTTTTACTTTTTGCATATACAAATTGTTTTGGAATTAAGGGGTGAGGGTGACTGTATTCCTTCATGCATACAGGTCTGCTGTCAAAGACGAGGACGAGTGGCCTTCCAAGTATTCAAAGTTTTTTATTGAAGTAAGCAGTAATCTTGGATATTATGCATGAATTAAAGATTGCACTTAGATACTGATACTATACTGCACATTTGAAGTTCCATTTTTATGAAACTCATGGGTGGCTTGTGCACAAATCTGACAAAACACGGTACACGTCCTTGTTATGCACTGACATCAAGAAGAAAACACATATCATCACTGACTGCCTATTTGGGAAGCTCACAATTTTTACTTGGAATTTCTGATTGCTCTAATATATGTGTTTCAGACACACACATAATATTGATCATTCTAAAAAAGAATGTCACCAATCATGAACCGGAAGCATACACACAATTGTTGCATATGGGCATATGGCACTTAGATGCTTGACTGCATACTTATAATATTATTAAAAGTTCCTCTAAAGAAGTAAGTATGTCAGTACGCTCAATTTTGATAATAATATGTAATATGTTTAGTTGAATACTTATATAAGAAAATATACACTTTTAATCATCAATGACACGTTACCCATTTCATACAGTTGGAAAATGGCCTGGAGCTTTCCTTCACTGACAAAAGGAGATTTGCTCGAGTTCGGTTGCTTGAAAATGTATTGTAATGCTATATATTATATACTGTGCAACACTTCCCTAATTCTGCTTTCATCTCATGAACTGTGGGCTCTTCTATAAAGTTTCCTGATGGATCAACCTCTGCAGCCAGTCACTGTGCCTCCTATATCAGATCTTGGACCTGATGCGCTATTGGAGCCACTGACAATAGAAGAGTTCCACCAAGCTCTAAGCAAGAAAAAGATTGGAATTAAGGCCCTTTTACTTGACCAGGTTTCAAAAGATCCACTGACTTATCTCCCCCGATATGTTTGTATGGAATCCATCATCAATTTGCTAAAGGTCTATTTGACTGATGCGTGCTACTCTTCTGTCCTAAAAGTTCCTAGTTTGACCTGCACCGTCATTAGTGAATCAAATGTTATGTGATTGACTTCCAAGAAGGCCGTTTTAATTTATTAAAAGTTATTTTAAAAAATTAACGGTGTTAGTTGAGGGTATTGAATGAGGGTAGTAAACTAAAGTAAGAATTTCACAGAAAGATGACTTTGTTCCAGGAAAGACAAAAAGGAAAACTAGAATTTTATTTACGTACAGAGTACAACATATGACCATGGAAATAATATAAGAGAAATCAAGTATAAGATTGGGGAGAGTCAAGAGTGATATAGCCATTCAGTTTGCCACTCATAAATGTATTACCATACCATCCTACTAGACTTTTCTCAAATATGGTTGATTTTTTATTTTATTTTAATACCTTGATTAGCTCATCTATTGTATGAAGTGATTTGTTAGGACTTCTTCTTTTCCTTGCTTTAGTTGCAAATGTATTATTATGCATGTATTCCCTATTTTAAAGGGAGCTTCGCTTTGCTAATAAATCACTGAAGTAAGAATTACGAAGAAATCATTTCAAAGGAGAAAGAAATTTCCTAAAATTCGTGTGCCCCTTCCGTTTACCCTTTAATTCATTCCAGTTGCGTGATGGGAAAAAGTTGTCAATTTGGTCAGTATGTGTGTGCTGTAATGGCTGCAGTGCTTGGTGCACCTTTTGGTCTGGCAACTTGTGAAGGTACCCTTGGCTTGTCGATTTTTGTAGTTCCTTATGTATCTCTAAAAGGAGCATCTACCAATCATGAAAAGTGTGTAATATCCAATGATGCCAGCAGCGAAACCAAAATGTTATCGTATGTGGATTCTTCACATCACGGAAATGAATTAAAAGTACAAATGGAAAAGGCAATTAGAAGGCCATTTTCATTCTCCTTGGAAATTTGTGAAAATTTCCTTCATTTTTCTTAATTCTTTCTGAGATGTTTTATTAACAAAGCAAATCTTCCCCTTATAGTGGGGATTATATGCATAGAACTGCTTGAGACAAGGAAATGAAGTAATCCTTGCCTCCTTGGTAATTATTCCTTAAGATAGATATGCTAATTAAGGCATTATAATCAAACTAAAATGCAATCAACCAGATATCAATCTCATCAATCTTCTACTAGTTAGTCTATTATTTTTCCATAATCTTCTAATGTGAGTATGTGACGGACTCGCTCAGATGGTCGCCCGGCCAGATCATTCTGCCAGTCCTGCTACATGATTGGCTGGCTGAAAAAGGCCTATGGTATCATCGTAGCTCAGGTAGTAACACGTTTCATTAAAATGTGACTTCACCTGTACGGAATCAACATTTGCCTTAAGTACATCTTTTAGCGTGAAGAAAACAATCCAGTTCTGCCATTCCTAGGAAGAAAAAGTTATCTTGCCAGACTGTGGTTGTACTAGCAAATTTAATCTTTCCCTACTGGTTTCCCTCCAACCCTATAATTTGTATTGAACATCTGGTAATTTTCCCATTACCTCGGAGGCTCGGACTACAGGTGTTACCACCTACAAGCCTACCTTCCTACTTTTGTCCATGTGTTTTTTAACCCTATATCAGCCTGATCAGTTCAGACCACCCTAGCCTGAATGCCCACCATACGTTAATTAACTCCGTTAGTTGGTAACTGTGAAATATAAGATTGTATTCATTATACTTCATATGAAATCCTATACAAGAAGCTATATTTATAGCTATATTTAGAGTACTAGGGTTTCCTATACAAGATATACAAAATGGGCTAAGCCCAATACTAGTAGGGTTTCCACACTCCCCCTCAAGCTGGAGCATATAAATCATATATACCAAGCTTGTTACAAATATATTCCACTCTAGGACCTCTAAGAGACTTAGTTAAAATATCTGCAAGTTGTTCAGTTGTGTTCACATATTTTGTGATGATATGTCCACTGGTGATCTTCTCTCGGATAAAATGACAATCAACTTCAATATGTTTTGTCCTCTCATGATATACCGGATTTGATGCGATGTGCATTGCGGCTTGATTATCACACATGAGTTGAGCCGGTTTTGTGTTTCCATATTTTAACTCTTGGAGGAGATGCTTCAACCATAAGATTTCACAGGTAGCAAGGGCCATTGCACGATATTCTGCTTCAGCACTAGATCTGGCAACCACATCCTGTTTCTTACTTTTCCATGAAATTAAGTTTCCACCAATCAAGATGCAATATCCCGAAGTGGAACGTCTATCCATCGGACATCCGGCCCAGTCTGCATCACAGTATCCCACAATATCACGGTGACCTCGATCTTCAAACAACAATCCTTGCCCTGGAGTTTTCTTGATGTATCTCAAAACTCGAATAGCTGCATCCCAATGTCCAGTACATGGCTTATCAAGAAACTGGCTAAGAACACTTACCGCAAATGAAATATCTGGTCTCGTGATGGTAAGATAATTCAATTTTCCGATGAGTCTTCTATATTTTTCCTTGTTGGGCAAAAGATCTCCTTGTTCTGATAAGAGTTTAACGTTCGGATCCATTGGTGTATCCACTGGCCTGCAATCTAGCAAACCTGTTTCCTCAAGAATATCCAAGGCATACTTTCTTTGTGAGAGAGCAATTCCATCTTGAGACTGTGCAACCTCAATGCCAAGGAAGTATCTCAACTTTCCCAAGTCTTTTGTTTGAAATTTGCTAAACAGATGTTGCTTGAGGAGCGCAATTCCTTGATCATCGCTACCTGTAATGACAATGTCATCAACATACACAACAAGATAAATACATTTGTTGCCAGCAGAATGTCTGTAGAATATAGAATGATCAACATCACTGCGAATCATGCCAAAGCTGCAAACAACGGCACTGAACCTCCCAAACCATGCACGTGGAGATTGCTTCAAGCCATATAATGAACGACGTAATCTGCACACCATACCAGACTCCCCCTGAGCAACAAATCCAGGTGGTTGCTCCATATAAACTTCCTCGTGCAGATCTCCGTGAAGGAATGCGTTTTTAATATCCAATTGGAACAATGGCCAGCGGCTCATTGCTGCCATGGATAAAACCAAACGAACTGATGCAATCTTCGCTACAGGAGAAAAAGTGTCAGTGTAATCCAAGCCATATATCTGAGTATACCCTTTCGCCACAAGGCGTGCTTTAAAACGATCAATCTCCCCATCTGGCCCAACTTTAACCGTGTAAATCCACCGACATCCCACCACTGATTTGCCAGTGGGAAGGGGGACTAAGTCCCATGTCCCACTAGAATGGAGAGCCTCCATCTCAGCCAACATGGCTTTACGCCACTCCGGGTGTGCCAGTGCCTCATGTGTGGTTTTAGGAATGCATATATGAGATAGGTGGGAAATAAAGGCATAGTAAGGGATAGAGAGGCGGTGATAACTCAAAAAGTTATATATGGGATGTGGATTCAATGTGGAACGCGTACCTTTTCGGAGAGCAATTGGCAAATTATCCCGAGTGGTGTCAAGTGCTGGAGTAGGTGATGGTGGTGATGCAGGATCCGTCATAGGGGAATCAACGGGCGTGGCCACGACGGGCTCAATGGGAGGAGGTCGAGGACGTCGATGGTATACCTGTAATGGACGATCTGACATAGGAGGGCAGTTTGGGTGCTCATCAGATGGGGGGTTAATGGGAGGTTCTTGATGGATGGGCCGAAGATATGAGGTGAAGTCCAAACATGATGGGGTATTAACTGAAGATAATGGATAATAAAAGGACGACTCAATGAAAGTGACATCGGCTGAAATAAAATGTTTCTTAAGTAATGGAGAATAACAACGATACCCCTTTTGGAGTCGCGAATATCCAAGAAAGATACATTTTATTGACCTAGCCGCCATTTTAGCTAATCCTGGTGTCGTATCATGGACAAAACACACGCACCCAAACACATGAGGTGGTAATGGAAATAAATCACGAGCAGGAAACAAAAGAGAATAAGGAATTTCATTATTAAGAACTGAGGAAGGCATTCTATTTATTAAATGACACGCAGTGAGCACGGCATCTGCCCAATACTGAGGTGGTGTATGAGAATGTAATAATAGGGTACGAGCAGTATCAACCAAGTGCCGGTTCTTGCGTTCAGCAACCCCATTTTGTTGAGGCGTGTGAACACAAGAAGATTGGTGAAGCATACCCCGTGATGTCATGAATTGATTAAAGGATGCCCCAAAAAATTCTTTAGCATTGTCACTGCGTAAAATTTTGATAGAATGACCAAACTGAGTTTGAATTTCAGCACAAAAAGTTTGAAAAATATGAAACAATTCAAAACGCTCTTTCATTAAAAACAACCATGTGTAACGGGAAAAATCATCCACAAAAATAACAAAATAACGGAAACCTAAAGTAGAAGTGACTCGATACGGACCCCATACATCTGTATGAACTAAATCAAACGGTGATGTAGCCCGGTTATTGACTCGCCTTGGAAAGGATTTACGAGGTTGTTTTCCAAGGTGACATGACTCACAATCTAAAGATGAAAGATTGGAGAAACCTGGAACCATACGTTGAAACTTTGAGAGACTAGGATGACCCAGACGATTATGTAAGGTAATAGCAGGTTCAACTGAAACACAAGCGATTGGATCAAGAGGATGGAGGTGATATAGACCTTGAGATTCATGGCCGACGCCAATCGTTTTCCCCGTACAACGGTCCTGCACAATCACAGAATCAGCAGAAAATGTTACGGAACAATTAAGAGCACGTGTAATTTTACTGACAGAGACAAGGTTAAAAGGGGTGTTTGGGACATATAAGACTGAGTCTAATGGTAAGGATGAAAGTGGAAGCGCTTGCCCAATACCCGAAGCCGAAGTTTGAAGGCCATTAGCAAGAGTAATCAAAGGAAGATGTCGGTGCTTGGTAATATGGGATAAAAGATTGGGATTACCAGAAATATGGTCTGAGGCACCTGAGTCAATTATCCATGAGCCTGCTGTGTTTGAAACGCAAGCGGTAGACATCCCCGTTGTAGATAATGGCATATTAGTCAACTTAAATTGCTGATATGCTGCATATTCTTCTGGAGACAGAACAATGGGAGATGGTGGGATCTGAGCAACGGTGACTGGGGTAGGAGGTCTCCCATGTAATTTCCAACACCTGTCTTTAGTATGACCAATTTTATGACAAAAATCACATTTAGGACGGTTCCGTCTTGAGAATCCGGTGTTGTTTCCTCCGTCAGAATTCATAAAAGACATTTTTTTTCTCTCTTTTTTTTTTTGTTTTTTTTTGTTTTTTTTTTTTGTTTTTTTTTTTTAAAGAGCAGCAAAAAGTAAAATATTTAAAGTAGTGCAACTGCAATTAAATTGAAGTGAAGCAGCCGTAAGGTTTCCCAGGCAGCAGGTTGAAGCACTGTAGCTACACAAGGATGAAGAAAACAGACCTCTATCTTCTTTGGGAGATGCGGACGAACGGCGCAGGGAGACTGCAGGGCGGCTGCGGCGAGCGTACGACACAGGGAGACGGCGGTCGACGGCGGTCGACGGCGGCGGCGTGGTTGACGGCGGCGGCGCGCGTGGAAGCGGCGGCGGCGCGTGTGGAAGCGGCGGCGGACCGGACTGACTGGTCTAGGTCGTCAGGGACCTAGGTATCTGAAAAACCTGTCGGTGTCGCTCGCAGATGACTAAGACGGAGCAGATCTGCAAAGATGTGTACCTGCAGGTGCGGACTTTCAGCGACCGACGGCGGCGCGTGGGTGAGGCAGCGGCGGCGAAACTTCCGGCGGTAAGTCGCTATGTAGAGTTGAGCACGATGGTAGGCTTGTATCACTACCAAAAGCACTCAAGTGAGTTGCGACCACTATTCACGCCGGAAATTATGGCCTGAACTTCTGTCCGGATTCGGAGCGGCAGTTTATAAGGCTAACTAGCTAACTATATTTGCCGTATAGGCTCTGATACCATGTGAAATATAAGATTGTATTCATTATACTTCATATGAAATCCTATACAAGAAGCTATATTTATAGCTATATTTAGAGTACTAGGGTTTCCTATACAAGATATACAAAATGGGCTAAGCCCAATACTAGTAGGGTTTCCACAGTAACGTCTATTGGAAACAAAGTGACAAGCTTCATCCATACCTGTTTCAATGTAAGATTTTTTTTCACTGTAATGTGGGACCATTTTGGCCTTAATAATTCCATGGGCGCAGAGGTTAATGACCATGTAAATCTCCAGTGACCCAGATATTAGAACTAGTGACCTCAGAGAACTTATGTTCCTGGGTTTAAGCTAGTTGAACAACCCTGACAGGTTTTAAACTTGATGTTCTCAGTTCAGTTGACAAGCATCCGTTTGGTATCCAGAACATAATCTGGGATGTTCAGTCACCAGAGTGTGAGATATGTCTATTAACAGGCATAAGAGTAAAAGCAGATCCAAGCAATCAGCGCCTCAGAGGACAACTTGGATGTTAAAACTTCCTGATCCCTTGTTCTCAACCTGTGGCCTTGGCGGCACCTAGGTAGACTTTAAGCATGAATTTGAAAAGCAAAATGCTGAGGAGTAGTCTGATCTTCCAGTCGGCTTGGATGAAGAGGTGAGCAGCCAGTGCATGTTCGGCATCAACTTCCGGCAAAGGGTCACATGAATACATGATGGAGCAGGAACTCAATGGCGAGTGGAGGCAGGGCCACCAGCAAGCCGGAGTCCTTGGAGTCATAGTGGAACCCCACCATGTTTTTTCCTTGGTGGGGCGTGAGAGCCGCGTGGCTATGTTTTCCCACAATGGTCATACTCGTGCCCGAATGTGAATGGAGCGCAACTGAGCATCTTTTTCATCTTACAGTGCAAGAGGCACAGCCTTGCGAAAAGGGTATCTGTCTCGTGCTATTAACTGAACAATTCCATCCTTTCCTGATCCGGAGATGCTGGAAGGCTGAGATGCATGGCTTGAAGGGTTAAGTTGCTCAATACACAACATCTTCATCATCGTTACTGATATTCAAGAACTGTGCTGCAGTGACGTTGAACTTCCTGATACCCCTATCTTTCTTATCCCTATGCTTCTTTTTATCAGGATTTGATGTTCGTCTATTTATCTTCCCTTCTAACCATAACCTGACCACCAATAAGTGGCATACTGGCATTTGGAGAAGGATTATAGAAATGTTCACCATGATTTGCATGCAAATAAAACAAATTGTTTTGTTGGAAAAGGTACTAGCCATGACAACAGTTCATTTTTTCCCCATGTAGGTCATGATGTAAGCACAATATTGTTTTCCTTGTAGAAATGCTGATATTTCATTTTCAACTGAATGAATCTTTGACATGGCATTGTTTCTGCAGGGTTTTATATCTGGTATTGGCAACTGGATTGCAGATGAGGTGCTATATCAAGTGAGTGGGCCTTTCTTATCTCTGCTATCAACCTTTTCTGTAATGTTTGAACAAGGTTAAGATCATAATTATGAAAAGCTTACACCTCATACAGGGGAGGCTTATGCATTGATGCTCATGTCTTCAATGTTATGCAGATGGACCATTTTGCTACAAAAGTTTGTTCTCTTAAAGTAGTTTCGCTAAAAAGACTTGTTTTTCATTGGTACATATATGAAGCTTTTAGTTAAAATAAAATAATGAAATGTTTGAGTGTTTGACACAACTTTAACACTAGAACTTTATATGTCCGCTGTTTAGCCCACTACTTTCTTTTGTTCATCGTTACTCCACAAGTTTTTTCTCTACAGTTCTACTTGTCTGCTTTTTTTTCTTGTTCTCTATTTGATTAAGATTTGAGACCTTCAGAAGTAGCAACAAACTTTTTCTTCTCACACCAACCCCTCATGTGGTTGCTGCATTTATCTAATTGATGTAAATGAAAATGAAGATGAGAATACCCATATGTTGTCGTGAAATCATACTCTTTATTCACCTACTGGCTACCATGATATGTGCTGAATCTGAATATCAAAGAAAGACAGCCATTTCAGATCAAATCCTTGCAATGACCAGTTGGCTGCTCCAGTGTCCAGAATGAGCCTTATCAGATTATGTGATATTGCAATCAGTTTCTATAATATTCCTACTATAGATTGTTTGAAGCAAAACGTGATCCCTCTCAAGATGCTTCGCTTATTTAAAAGTATCCCTGCTTCAAGATTATTTTCATTTGTCCCTTCCCTTAAGCCTATCTGTTGCATAATTTTATAGCTGGTCACATCCAAAACATTGTCTCATAATGTTTCTGTTCAATTTGATAGGCAAGAGTTCATCCAATGCAGATCGCTTCAAGCATGTCCAAAGCAAGTTGTGTATCACTACTGAAGTGCATAAAAGAGGTTTTGTTCATGCTTATAATGTTTAATCAATTAATTATATCTTTTATTCCCTTTTTATGCGGGATAGACATTTGAGATCATGTTCATAGGTTACAGAGTTTTCAGTTGATGTTGATGCGGATAGCAGCCGCTTCCCTAGTGAATGGTTATTTCATTATCGGTGGGGCAAAAAGCCTGGAAAAGTCAATGGTAAGATAATTTCACAATTGTGATTTGTTTAACAGAAAAAGTTTTTTTCACAGGTTATTGAAAAAGCTGTTGAAGTAGAAGCAGATAGCGATCAGTTTCCTAGTAATTGGATTTACCATTCTCGGGAAAAGAAGGACAAAGCTTTTGTTGATGGTTTGGATCCCAACTCCTGTTCCACTGTTTTATAGGGTCATGGCTATCCATTTCCCCCCTCGCTGAGTACAGCCTACAGATCAATTGAACCAGCTATTACTAAAGAATACTGCTCATATGTTGATGATAACTGTTGTTAATTAATAAGTATTTTTTGTAGTTTTTATATCCATTTAGTTGCTAAAAGGTGTCATTTTGCCACTGGCTCTTTTATATGTGGATTAATTTACAGTCACCAATTCTTGAAATACCAAGTTACTTTGCAGCAAAGCTTCTGATTGGATTCTAATGTTGTGCAGGAAAGAGAATTGAGTTTATAACTGCGGGTGGCAGGGTATGTCTGTGTACTCATTAGAATATACATTGGCATTCATCTTTGGCTGGTATTTCATTTGCTTACTTTGTTTCCCTTTCTTTTCCTTATCTGGATTTAACTCAGACAACGGCCCATGTACCTGAATTACAAAAGCTAAGTGGGCCCCAATCTGCCAAACCTTCTAAAAAGCAGGAAAAGGTACCAAAGGGTGAATTCACTAATGCTGATGTTGATGAAGAGGAGGCAAAATCAGATGAAAATGACAGAAAATCTAACAGTGTCAAGAGATCTACTAACAGGAAAAGGGGCAGAAAAGGCAATTCAGATGGTGATGACAATGGAAGTGACAATGAAGGTGATGAAATTCTAAAGGAAACTAGAGCTAAGAAGCCAGTAGGAAGAAATAAGCTCAAGGAGGGCAGGCAGGACGAGACAGATGATAACAGGAAGAAAATTACTGCAAAGAGTAAGCCTGTTAATGATGATGTTTCTTCTGGTGGGGGTGATGAGGAGAATGTTAGTGACACGCCTAAGAAGCCATCAAAACGAGCCCAACCTAAAATAGCCAAGACATCCATGAAAAAGGCCGCATCCACCCAAAAGAGGAAGCAGTCCAAGAAATCAACTTAGCTGACATGGTCATTAGTAGAATATTTCTCTGTTTAGGTGGTTTATAATGCTTTCTCTAGTACCCACTAAATGATTATGCTGATGGCATGCGACCCCATGCGTTATCTTTGACCAGAAGAGCTTGAATCTAGTAACCATTTTGTATGTGAAGTTATGAACCTTGTAGTGCAACTTATTTGATCTGATGTCCATTTTGTGCACATAATGGCCTGCTGCATCCTGACCTTTCTTTAAGGAAACTGTTGTAAACTATTTTGAGGTTTGACATCTCAATGTGATCATTCTGAAACTATTTAGTTTTTGGACTGAACTCAAAGTATGGAATCTAAAAGGAATATCGAGTTGAAAAGTGTTAGGACTCATAAATTGTTTTCTATGTCAAGACACGAGTGTCGAGTCGTATGAACTTAAAATACCCTTAGTGGATGCATATTGAAGCCTCATGGTAGGGATGGACTGGGACGGGTCGGCCCGGTGTTGTGCAGGCCCGACCTGGTCTGCTGCTTTTCAGTCCCAGTTCGGGGCTCGACCTGGTGGCTATAAGGCTCAGGCTCGATTGCACTACTTTTCTAATTTATTGCAAAGTCCCGTCCCGAAACTTGACTCGGCCCGGAACTGTTTAGCCCCACTTCATGCATCTAGCTCCTCTAATTCACAAGTTTTATCTACCTCCCCAGCTCCCCTCCTCCAACCTGCCCCACTCGACAACGGATCCCTAACCCCAAATATTTTGGTGGCCCGTTTGTCAACTCAACTACCCGTCACCCAATACCCACTCCCCTGGAATCCGTGAGTGTAAAACAAGCTTTAGAAGATCCAAGGTGGAAGGCAGC